CAATTAAAAAAGAAGCTACAAAGTTTAAGTTCAAGTAAAGGTAACTTAAATTCTATTAGGCACGGTGAAAATGGAATCCTATGGATCTGCTCATAACTATCTATTTAATTCATATATGGAATTTGTGTGGGTGGACAGCACTAAGTTGTAAGAACTGATGTGAGATTTCAATGTCTCCTGTATGCTTTACTCTAATTTGTTTAAAAGATTATTGGCTTTGCTACTCAATGTTGGATTGATGGTTTTGAGACAACTTTGATTGTAAAAATATATTGATCTCCAGTTATCAAGGGTTTTTCTCAATTAATCAGAAATAAAAATTGTATCCTCTGCAGGAGACAAGCCAGATTGCAATCTGCAGTGTTTAATTCTAACTTGCATAAATTATTAATCAAATCTATTCTTTTGCCTTTATGTGTTCAATTTTGCTGCCATAGTCAGTTTTTAGAAAAGGCTAACTAGTTTGAACTTTAATCTTGTCACAAGTTGTTTACACTTTTGAATGCATGTTTGATCTTAATTTCACAACATGGTGATAATAGCTGGATGTTAATGGGGACAGAAAAGCAAACTTTGTACTTGCATTGAACCTTATCCTCCTGTAGTTTACTTTCTGGTAGTTCATGTTCATGGAAGCTGTACAGCTGGGAACTTCAGGAAGGTATCAATGTCTTTTTATGTGGAATTGACATAAAGTTGCTCTGTTTAATGTCTCACCTCTCAACTAAAAGCTGCAATCTCAAACAGTACAGCACTCCCAAATTTTCAACCTGACATTGATGCAGTTCCTGGAGTGGAACTTGAAATCGTAATTTTCTGACTCCAAGGTGACAGTGTAACGGTGGAACCTAGAATGCTGTATCACAAAAGTCAGTGATGAGCAGAAGCCTTCATTTACTCACCATTCCTGATCCTCTATCGTTTCAACTTGCTTAGCTAAGCGTCCAATTGAAGACCTGTCATCACCTGATATATAATTCCAAACATTTGCTTTTCCTTCAATAAAGATTTTGTTTTAAGTCAGTTTTCTATTTACACTTAATAAAATCAAAATACTGCGGATGCTGGAGAAACTCAGTAGATCTGGCAGTGAAACTGATGAAGAGTTATACTGGGCTCAAAATATTATTTCTGTTTCTCCACAGAATCTGTCAGATCCACTGAGTTTCTCCAACACTTTCTGTTTTTACTTCCATTTACACTTGTTGAAGTTGAGATTTCCTCTATTGGTCAGAGTGGCTTTAAAGGTTTCTTCTGGGTTCACCTCATGCTTAAACTTTAGATTCAAGGGTATAAACGTGTTTCATCTTTCATCATAAATATCCTCTTTACACCTCAAATTATTGCATTTGCTTTGACTTACACCCTTGCCAATGCACATAACGGAGCAACCAGATATATAGTATTTGAAGTGACATCAGGCATACTTGTTAATCTCTGTAAAATAATTTTGTACTTCTTTTCACTTTTTAAAAATTGTCTGCTATTCAGTTTTGACACAAAATAATGTTTCACCTAATTTGCAGCATTCTAAGTAATGGCTAAAATCAGCAGCCAGGATGAAAACATACATTTTGTTTTGTTAATAATTTACTGCGTTTTTCCAACTACGACAGTAGCAACTACCAGTCCTGCATCAGATTCTTCAGACTTGAGAGGGCCCACAGACAAGGACAAAATCACTTTTATCTTGGAGATACTCAAACATTGAGGCTACCACCAATGTATTTCTACTGTGGAGTTGTGCAGTATTTGCCCATAGTATTGTAAATATTGAGGATGTTCTTCAGACATCCACACCAAATAAACCTCGTTAGGATGAAATTAAAATAAAATTGAGGAACTTTCCCCACAATAGTCTAAAGTGTAGCTTGTTTTAGAATGACACTATGCTCTGTGTAGTATGTGAGTAAATGCATGTCTTCACAAAGAAGCGTGTTACTTTTTTTCAAAAAGAACTTGCTGGTGTTTTAAACAGTGCAATTAATAAAGATTACATTTTGTTTCTTGGTAAATAACTTTAATAAACCTTATGGAGGAAGTGTTAATAATAAAAAAAACTCCTCAATTTATTACCCAATCTATTGACAGCCTGCAACAGGTCTAAACCGGTTCATGTTATTTGGTTCAACGAGTTGGTCCGGTCCTAAACGTCGAATTTTTGAATGGCCCAGAGAAAACAATTGTTCATTTGGCAGCTCCATGTTATAGCTGGTCTGCATTTGTCTGAGAGCTGTTTTTCTTCCGTCATGTTCACCAAAATTATTTGGGAAATTTATTATTAAATGCTATTTTGTAGGGGGAAGAAATTCCAAGTTCTTCCTTCTATCAACATTTTGAGCATTAAACCCAAATTATTGATCATAGAACATAGAACAGTACAGCACAGTACAGGCCCCTCGGCCCACTATGTTGTGCCGAACTTTTACCCTAATCCTAAATTCTATCTAACCTCCACCCCTACATTATACTATCATCCATATGCCTATCTAATAGCCACTTAAATGCCCCTAATGAGGCCAACTCCACTACCCTCTCCGGCAATGCATTCCACTCTCTGAGTAAAGAACCTACCTCTGACGTCTCCCCTATATCTACCTCCACTTACTTTAAAACTATGCCCCCTTGTAATAGCTACCTCCACCCTAGGACAAAGTCTCTGGCTGTCCACTCTGTGGTTCAGGCGACTACATATGGTTTAATACAATTGAGACAGATCTCATTGTTTCTTTAAATTCTGGATTAATCATATTGTTGTCCAGATTCAAAGCAGATAAAACCCCACCCAAATGATACAACTGGAAAAACCACCCTGAATAAAGTCATTTCAATTTGTATGAATTGATCAAATACTTTGTTATTGGATCTGGAAATTTTATTGATGATGTGTGATTAGATTCTGCCAAGCAGTTTATGTTTCTCTGTACACCACCATCACTTTCTGAGCACAGTGAACTACATTTTTCCCCTCTTAACGTTGATCTTTTCTTCATTCAGACCTCATCTTTTGAAAATCTATCTTTCTAAATGAGCATTTTATTTTTGCTCATTCACGTTTTCATTATGAATCTAGCATTAAACTCCTCCATATTGTAGTGCTGGTTTCTTACATTGCAGCAGTGACTATACTTTAAAAATTATTTTAAATCATTTTAAAATAATGATTTAAAATGATTTTAAATCAGTTAAATCAGTTCTATGAACTGTACAGCACGGAAACAGGTCCTTCAGTCCAACTCGTCCATGCCAAGCAGATATCCTGTATAAATCTAGTCCTGTTTGCCAGCATTTGATCCATATCCCTCTAAACCCTTCCTATTCATGTACTCATCCAGATGCCTCTTAAATGTTGTAATCGTACTAGCCTCCACCACTTCCTCTGGCAGCTCATTCTATACAAGCACCACATTCTGCATAAATTTAATTGGCCACAAAGTACTATCAGATATCTTGAAATTGTTACTTACATGCAAATCTTTTTTTCTATTGCCAAGGTATTTTCCAAATGTTAAAATGTTCAAATGCCTATTCCTTTTAAAGTCCGGTATTACCCTTCTTTGTGTCTAACACTCTAAGGTAGTCGCTGGGATAAAGGGCTGTCTTTTCAGGAATTAGAAAGAGTCTGTAAACCTATGCAGGTGGGACCTGCCCCATTTCCAATGGATCAAAGCTTTGCTGGTAGGGGAAAGTGGGATGGATGTGAACTACAAAAGAGGGAAACCTGATCTCAGCAGGGCCATTCAAACACATTGCTGAATTCAAAAAGATACCAAAAACAGGAATTGCTGGAAAAGCTCAGCAGGTCTGGCAGCATCTGTGGAGAGAAATCAGAGTTAACATTTCGGGTCCAGTAACCCTTCCTTACCACTTATTGCAAGGGTCTGAACCAATGACATGCAAGTCTCAAGTTAATGGAGTAGACATTATCGATCTTGAAGGGTGTATAATTATTGTGACCTGAAGTGTTTTAAATGCCCCACCTTTTAAACTTAAAAAAAAGGCTGTGGCTGTCAGAGATAGTTTTGGAAAAAACTTGGTGCTGGATTGCAATGATTGACAGGGCATCTGGTGTAGGTTAAAAATAAAATCATTTGACATCTGCTCAAACAATTGCAATGGACCTTTTTTTAAATCAAACTATTCAGATATGTTATGAAACAAATCCATAGTAGGAGGGATTTGAACTCGGATCTCTTGGCCCAGCAGTAGGACCACTACCACCGCACCACATAAGGCCCAGTAGCATTAGGAGTGCTTAGCTAAGATTCAAAAGGTGAAATTTATTTTAGCAGGAGTACTGATCTCACAGTTTGACAGTTTAAAGATGTTATTAAAGGATTACCTATCTTTTATGTGCGATCTCAACAAACATTTGTTTTATAAGAGATTAACTACTCAAGATTCAAATGCTTTGAATAGATTTTATGAATGGGTATTCTTCCATTGTCATGTGTGAAGAAGTGAGAACTGTATCAAACTTTTGGAAACTTCTTTTTCATCTCCACATGGTTCTTGAGGTCTGTCTGTGGTGAATATAGTCTGAGTATCAATTCAGGTGGCCTGGTGGTGGATGGGAGCAGGAAGAGAATGATGGTGTGAGTTGGCATGGACAATATGAGGACTCTCAAGTTTGGATAAGGCTTTCTAACTAGCCTTCCTCAGTGTCCGCTTACCTCTTGCCAACACTTCTGGCATCAGCAAGCCTGACACCATCTTGCATCTGCTGCACCACCCACAGAGTGGAAATTACCCATTTCAGGACAGTTTTCACCAAGGCAGGAGCAATGAGATGGAAAATTTCCCAATCTAAGCTACCTGCCTCGGTAGTCTAAATCCAGCCCTACATTTTAACTTCTGTTGCACCTATCTTTACCAATTTTCCAACCTGAATCAGCTTCCCTTGTTTGATTCTGAATTTCTTGGTTTTATTTACTGGAGTTGGAAAATTATTATGTGGGCTCAAAACATGACTGATGCGGTAGTGTTTCTGCTTCCATTAGGTAGCTGCTGGAGCAGGACACACAGTGATACTGGTTGATCAGGCTGACGATATCCTGAAGAAATCATTGAAGAAAATTGGAGACAGTGTTGCACGTATAAGCAAGAAGAAATTCACAGATAAGCCTGAGGTGATGTTTTGACCTTAATGAAATTCTTACGTATTTGTAAACGAATTCAGAAAATGTCTTAACACGTATTGACTGTGGTCATTTCAATGTAAGCTTGTTTTAATTCTTTTAAGAGTTGCTTATGGATTTCCATGTCACAAGTAACATAATTGGTCATTTTGAAAATTAATCAATTAAAGTCGAATGATTATCAACCAATCAGCAGTCCCCTCTTACAGAAGGTAAATGTTAGTTCACCCGCTAAATTGGTAGTCTTGCAAATTGTCCTGATGAGTGCAAGATGAAAAGTTTCAACAAAATGTCTTTTTTTCCATAATACTAAAGTAAAATAAGTAGATTCTGTCTACTATTTTTCTAAAATAATCTAGCAACAGTGGATTCCACATGTTTGTGGAATTTTTTTTGCCTGTTGGAACTAGATGAAAAATGGAAAACATGTGACCAGTAAATCTCAATTTGTTGTTGTTAGTTAGTAAGGGCTAGTGTTTTTTATTCCCATTCTCAGCACAGTTTCTTGACTGTATTTTATAAACCAATTATTACTGTTTTGTGTACTGTTAGAATCAACTAACGAGCAGTAACTGAGTTTGAATTTAAAAAGGAAGGTGATATTGCCAATTTACTAAAGAAATGAATATGTAACTGTATTTAGCTTGGTGTAAGAAATAAGCCAGCTCAATTCCTTAAATCAACACATAAAGAGTTAGTTTTATTTCTAAAGCTGACTCAAGCAAAGATGCAGAAATTACTAACAAAAAGTTTGAAATACACAAATGTATGTAATTACCCACTAATGCAAAAACCACAAAAAATCCGTCCAAGCAAAGGAAAAAATACAGTTGAATATCAGAAACCAGATTATATGTGGTTTTTGCATTAGAGGGTAATTACATACATTTGTGCATTTCAAACTTTTTGTTAGTAATTTCTGCATCTTGGCGTTACTTGGCCAAGTAACAAGTAAAGGTAGAAAAGAAAATCATTTGCTGATTGTGCAGAGACCTGATTACAATTGAAAGGCCACTTTCAATGCAACAGCTGCTGGTATTAGAGTCTCTTACTGAAGTAGTTATTCTGCAGAGATAGTAGGAACTGCAGATGCTGGAGAATCTGAGATAACAAGGTGTAGAGCTGGATGAGCACAGCAGGCCAAGCAGCATCAGAGGAGCAGGAAGGCTGACGTTTCGGGTCTAGACCCTTCTTCAGAAATTCCTCCTCTGATGCTGCTTGGCCTGCTGTGTTCATCCAGCTCTACACCTTGTTATCTCTAGTTATTCTGCAGTTATGGTTTGGGTGATTCTCTTGGAGACAGTAGAGTGGATCTGAATTCTCCATTAAGAATACTTACGTTGCAGTTAGAAAGACTTATTGTAGACTTTCAGGTAGTAAACTGCTTTGATGACATTTCAAAGAAAAGGGAGAGACATGAGGCTTTCTTTTCTGTCCTGGTCCAGTCTTTCTGAGACCAAGTTCAAAATCCAGTAGTTTTTTAACAGCTCAAGAGCTGGGTCACATGACCTGTCTGAAAGCTAATCTGTGACTCCACAAAACCAGTTTGTCCTCCACTGTCCAGCTACTGTCAGCCAATGTTCTTTGCTTTGAAATGAGTTCTTTTCAAAAATTATAGATTATTATTTTAGTTACCATCTTCAAAACAATGCAGAATTGATTTAACAGAATGGCTCAAGGGATGAGCTGTGACAATAATGGGGAAGTGGCATTATTCTCTTTGGAGTAGAGAAGACTAAAAGGGGATTTAATAATGATTAAATTATGAAAGATCAAGTAAGCAGGAGATCTTGTGGTGTGATGCGTAGTGTACTTATCTCTGGACCAGAAGCTTTGTGTACAAGCCCTACACCAAGACTTCATGGCCCTAGAAGGTGCATTTGTAATGTGCCCAAGCAGATTGATTGTCAGCTTGCATATCCTTTTAATACCTGATGTTACCAGGCAACAAGAGGGGAGAGTTTCCTGGTCAGCCATCTTGCTCAAGGCAATGTCAAACAATGCAGCACTTTACCTTTAATTGTGGACGAATCCAGTAGCAGCCATGGCCTAGCACTTGAGAATGAGAAATGTAGAAAAGACAGATAAATCAGATGAAATGAAGGGAATATTGTTTCCCAGCTGCCTGAAGGATCAACAACCAGTGAGCACAGAAACAGAGGTTACATACCAATGGACCTTTTTACACAATGAATGGTTAGGATTTGGAACGCATTGTCTGATGATAGGGCGGAGTTGATACAAATTCAGAGTAGCTTTAAAAAGGAATTTGGATGAATACTTGACAGGGAACAAACTAAATTGATTTGTGGGCATGAAATGGTGTTGTGGTTAACTGGATTTCTCTGAGAGTTGACACAGATTTTATGGAAGAAATGGCTTCCTCTGTTCTGTACTATTCTATGATTCTGGTTGGCACTGCATCTTGATGTTGCCATTTCCAATCCTTCAATTAGTCTTAATGGTAATCAGTTATTCTGTAATCTCTTATTAGGTTGTCACCTTTTGCTCATCTGTTCAACAATTCAGCATCGATGTGGAAACCACATTGAAATGCAATAGAACTGTATCCATCCTGTTAGTTCTGTTGCCAACATCACTTACAGTTTCAACAGTGTTCAAGATTTTCAGATATGCGTATAAAGGGTAGAATTGCCATAGTTTTACTGGACCAATGAGCTGTTCTCTCCTTAGAGAGAGGCGACTGGTGGTGATATAACCTGAGGGTCACTGTGCCTCAGGCGAGGGCAGAGGTTGAGAAGGAGAGTCCTTCATGGTAACTTCAGCCAGTGCAGGAAGTGAACCCACGTTGTTGATATCACTCTGCATTGCAAACCAGATGTGTATACTTATATGTGGAGAGAGATTAATTAATCTGCAATTGATCTTTTAGAACTGTTAGATATTTTAAACTGTAACTATAAATGTACTGTCCCTATCCGATGTATTACCCTCTGATGAGATGTGATTCCATAGGCTTTGGTTGCTGATCTATGAATTTATTTTTTAGTCTTCAGATTGAATGTAAGTGGGCTGAAGGTATTGCTTTTTATATCACAGCTGATCCTGATCCTGCTCTTTAATGTGCACAAATACGCTCCTGATCAGGAACAGAAATTCTGGTGGAATTTCCCCCCTTAACCCCAGAGCGTAAAGACCAATCATTCCACTTAGCACGACTGATAATTATACATGGTATCATTGCTAATTTGTACAAGTGAAAGCTTTACAGGTGACATTTAGATCAATTTTAACAGTTTTTAAAAATAAATAAAAGGAAAATACTAAAAATAAGTACACAAAAAGCAAGAAAAACTGAGCAGGTCAGGCACTATCTGTGGAGAGAAATAGTTAACACTTTGACCTCTCAGTAGATGAGAGCTGACCTTTCACAAAATGTTAAGTCTGTTAATCTCTGCACATGCTGTCTACCCTGATTAATTTCTTCACGTCTTTTTGTACTTTTTATGTATAAATTAAGTGTTTTCTCTTTGGTATTTAACTTATATTTCTTAACAGATTTTCCTTTAGGGAATTCTCTTAAGTGTACCACTACTGAATGTTGATTACAAGGAGACATAGATGAAAAAAAATGATTTGATGTTATTAATTTCTATGCTATGCTTTGGGGGCCTCTGCTGGCAGAAGTCCACATATGCACAATTTCAACTACACTTTTAAAAAATAATCTCAGGCAATTTCCTGCTGTCCTATTGTGTCCGTTAAGGTTTAACTTTGAAATTCCCTTCTTCACCTGTAGGCCGTGATGGTGAATGCTGGAATGCTTTTTGATGATGGAGGACTTCAGCTGAGCCTGATTATAGAAGTGAAACAAATCATAGTGCCCCATCTCCAATCTGGGTAAAATCTGCTAATTCAATTCATACAGGGGATTGAACCCATCACCTTCCTGGATCCAAATGAGTTATGGTTCACTGACTGTACCTGCTGGTTTGTGCATAACAATCATTCTTAAAATTAGAAAGTGATCTTGCACCATGGGTGGCATGGTGGCTCAGTGGTTAGCATTACTGCCTCACAGTGCAGGGGACCTGGGTTCGATCCCACCCTTGGCAACTGTCTGTGTGGGATTTGCACATTCTCCCCATGTCTGTGTGGGTTTCCTCCCGGTGCTCCAGTTTCCTCCTCATGGTAAATTGCCTGTAGTGTCCAGGGATGTGCAGGCTAGGTGGGTTAGCTATGGGAAATGTAGGGTTACAGGGTAGGGGAGGTAGGTCTGGGTGGGATGCTCTTCTAAGTGTCAGTGTGGTTTTGATGGGCCAAACGACCTGCTTCCACACTGTAGGGATTCTGTGATTCTACAGTTCTTATATGCATGCTAGATGGTGTATCTACAGTTCTTATATGCATGCTAGATGGTGCATCAGCCATTTTATTGTGCTAATTAGAAGCAGCTTTTGAAGCAGATGTTTGTGTGTTAACATGACAACATAAAGTTTGGTCCAATGTGTCATAACTGGAAACCCTTCATCCAGTCACTATTGTAAATATACACTGTCAGGGCTGCGTCTTTTCAGTAATTATAATGCAAAACAAACCTCTAGAGATGTAATTATATCTCTAAACCGGTCAATTAGAAAAATAGGTTAAATAAAAAAAAACAAGCCTCTAATGTCACCAGCATCTCTTTGTAGAATATCCGTGTTATGAAACTGATTATTGACTATATGGTGACCCTCAGATTAAACACCACCAGTCATCTCTGTCTAAGGAGACAGCATTTCTATAGCATCTTTTAACATAGATAAATGTTCCAAGTCACTTTGGAAATGTAACAGAAATTGATGTGAAGCATCAGTAGGTGATATCATGAGGGTGACTTTAAGCTTGGTGAAAGAAGCTAGTTTTAAGAATGGTTTTAGAAGGGAAGAGAGAGAAGGCGAGACCTTGAGTAATTCCAGGGAATTTGACCAAAGTAGATGAGTGGTGAATTAGAGAGAGGGAAGATCTATTAGATGGCTTGAGTGAGAGAGATAGAGCATTTTGTTTAAGGGGCTTGTAGTGCTGAAGGAAATTGCTTTGTGAAGCAACGGATAGACTTATATGCAAAAATTTTAAATTTGAGACATGGGAGTTAATGTAGTGCAGCAAGGGATGATTATAGATCATGAGTTCATTCAGGGTGCAGTGCAGTGGATGAAGTTAATAGATTATAGGAGACCTGCTTGAAAGCTGGAATAATTGGTCTGTATCTGACGAAAAATTGGAGGAAGATTTCAGCAAATGGATTAAGGTAGCAGTAGAGTAGGTAGTGTGTTATCGAGATGGAAAGAGTCTATCCTTATGATGACAAGTGCTTACAGTAAAAAACTTTATGTTGTCATGTTAACACACAAACATCTGCTCCAAAAGCTGCTTCTAACTATCTCAACAAAATGACTGATGCACCATCTCAGGATGCCAAGGTTGTAAGCAGTCCAGTTTAGCTAGAGACAGTGGCAAGGAGGGTGAAAGAATCTGTGGTGTGGGTACGTAACAAGTCTGGCTAAAAGACCATGGTATGTTTAACTGCAGCACATTAAGGTTCATGTGAGTCTGGGTGTTGGACCCTTAACTTGATAATGTGGAGTTAGTGGATGGCTTGAGAGTGGAGAGGTAGAACTGGGTGCTGGAGTGTACGTGTGCATATTAATTTAACATCTGAGAGGCCACATGCAATGAAGGAAGCTGAAGGAGCTAAGGATGAATTACTTAGGGAACTCTGAGGCTGAAAGTGAAAGGTAGGAAATGTACTTTATTGGTGGAGTTGCTTTGACTGATATGATAGGCTTTGGTAAAAATGTCCATTACAGTCTGACAGAAGAATGATGTAGACAGGAGTCTGATCTGGTCAGTAATTTTGTAGACTGCACAGAAAGCAGGTACAGATAATGCACCGTGGTTGGAAGAAATGTTTACTTCAGTGTCGTAGAAGATCTAGCAGGCCATGATTCATTCAAAGACCTTGGAGACAAAAAAGAAGTTGGAGCACCAGGGCATCACTGCAGTAGTACCTCCACATTGTGTCTTATGCCTAACCATTGTCAGCTCCATCATAAGGTTAGAAGTGAGGATTTTCGCTGATAATTGTACAGCATTCAACATTCACGACTCCTCAGATATTGAAATAGTATATGTCTAAATGCAGCAAGATCTGGACAATATCCAGGCTTGGGCTGACAAGTGGTAAGTAACAGTTGTGCCATACAAGTAGCTAGGTACTCACCATCTCCAACAAGAGAATATGAACTATTGCTTTTGACATTCAATGGCATTACTATTTCCTGAATTCCCTACTATCAACATCCAGCAGTCACCATTGACCAGAAACTGAACTGATTTGGCCGTATAATTATTGTAGCTACAAGAGCAGGTCAGAGGCTAGGAATCCTGTAAGTGAGTTACTTACTTCTTGACTTCCCCCAAGCCTGACTACTATTTACAAGGCACAAGTCAAGGCTGTGATGGAATACTTCCCATTTGCCTCGATGAGTGCAGCTCCAACAACATTCAAGAAGCTTGTCACCATCCAGTACAAAGCAGTTTGCTTGACTGGCAACACAAACACAAACTCTCTCCACCAACAACATACATTGGCAGTGGCAGTGTGAACCATTTATGCAATACATTGCAGAAATTCACCAAGGCTCCTTAGAAAGCACCTCCAAACCTGGGACCAGTACCATCTAAAACAACAAGGACAACAGATATGTGTGAACACAATCACTTGCAAGTTGCTCCCCAAGCCACTCACTATCCTGACTTGGAAATATATTGCTGTTCCAGCAGTATCATTGTGTCAAAATCCTGGAGCTCACTCCCCAACTGTTTTGTGGGTGTACCCACATCATATGGACTGCGGTAGTTCAAGAAAGCAGCTCGCCACTAGGCACCCAGGGGCAGGCTATAATGCTGGCCCAGCCAGCAATGCCCACATCCCCCGAATGAATAAAACAAGTTAGAGCAATAAATGCAGCCTTGCCATGGTTTTTCATATGCAAATAACAAATGACAAAAATGCTTAGTTGTTTTTCCTCTCCCTGTGTCCCTCAATGCATGACCAAAATTAGGATTATCCTTTGTGGAAAAGGATGTCTGTGAACTTTCATCATACTATGGTACTATATCTTTGGTACTAATGTATTAAGTTAATCATAAATCACATTTCTTTTTATGAAGGTTTGTTCAGACTCATTATAGTGCTCCATGTGTGGAATTGAGTGTTAATGGCTGTGACTGTCTCGTCTAAAAATTAGACTGTATTTTTTCTTTTGATCTAAAACTTCAAAGCTTAAATTTGGGCAGATTGAGTGTTTTTGGAACAGCCATAATTAAACTGTAAAACTTCCACTGGTTGTAGTCTAACCCCACTTATTTTAACCACCATGATAAATTTGAACAGGAGCTGTGATAACTGGCTGTAACCATTCTCTTTAGACTAGTATAAGGGCTGTCTGTTCAAGCTGGTGTTAACGTTATTGTCAATGAAAACATTTAATTTCTACTTGTTTCTGTTCACAGCTACAGAGGAAAGCATGTCTTGAGCAGCAGTTTTTTAATGGGCCAACAAGTCTGCAGTCTCTCAGGAGACTTGTCTTCAGTTTAGTAACAGATTTTTTTCCCTGTGCAAAGTGATTATTTTGCGGTCCCTGTTTATACTCAGGGATGCTTTGATAACATGGTGGTGGGTGTTTTTGTTCACATTTGTTTGGGCTGAATTGCAGGCACGCATGCAGTGATGTAAATAGAAAGATGACACTTCTGAATCATCATCCAGGATATTCTGAACAGCTGGTTTCAGCTGGTACTGCAGGATGTCCATGGACTGCCCCAATAAGATCTAAGGTCAGAGGCAGGATAATAGGTACCATTCATAGGTGAGGAAGATTAGTTCCTACTTTTCTCAACTTAAAATAAATAATAGATAAATGACTTCAAAACACATCAGGATTTTGTCTGAATGTGGACATTTTTGAGGTTATAAAGAGAATGAAAATCCACCAAGGCACAGGGCAGCCACCTTACCTACCTCCAACACCCTCCAAATAAGTTTCCGATTGGCTGGTTACAACTGTTACATAACTTTGCAGTTGATCATTTTAAAACAAAACAATCAGTAACCCTATTTTAGAAATTGTTCATTTACACTACTTTGTCTCAGGCTTGCTGTTAAAATCGAGAGTGCACATAAGTGGGAAGCACAACTGATTCTTGCTGTTAATGACTGCTCTCTTCCATCACCAGGCTGGTGCAGAATTTGTTCAGGAGACCCTTGAGAGAATCAGTACCTCAACAGATCCTGTTTCTGCAGTGCACAGCACAGACCTTGTCATAGAAGCAATTGTGGAAAATGTTAAAGTTAAACAGGAACTTTTTGAAAAACTAGATAAGGCTGCTCCAGTGTAAGTATTTCAATTATATTATACTTTATTTCAAAATAAAGACAGACTTGCACATTATATATATAGTGTCTTTCAAGATATCAGGATATCCCAGAATGCTTTACAGCCAATTAATTACTTCACTGAGGTGTAGTCATTTTTGTAATGTGGGACGGTGAGTCCTCCACTGTTAGAGGTATTGTCTGTCTTAGACCCAAGATTCTGCAGCAGTACGTGAAGAACAGCAAGACAATTGCCCCCAGTTTCCCGGCCAATGTCTGTTCCTTAAGAATAAACAGATTTTCTGGTTATTATGTTATTTGTGGGACCTTGCTGTGTGAAAATTAACAAAAGTCAGTCCATGTGATAGTGCAGCACCTTCTAAGTAATGCCCATGAGTTTCAGCCTGGATTTTTTTGCTCAAGAAAATAAGCAATACTAGTTTGTTTGTGGAATACCTGATGAACTTTATTTATAACCCCGAGAGGTGGTTGGAAAAAAGGATTTCCCAGTGTGTCATTTTGGTTTGAAGCGGACTGATGAAAAAAGTAACAAATTTTAGGATGTTTCCCCAGTGTTTCCAGAACAAGTCATTTTTATTAAAGAGTAGGGCTACACTGATAATTCTCTGGTCAGGAATTCTTGACTTTTATAAGTGCAGCCACTTCACTGTAAAATTAACATATTGCACCGTATTGACTTACATTTTATGATGTTCAAATTGTACTCTGTGGGAATGGCAAGCCAAGTGAATTTTGAAGTTACTGAAAGTGATTAAACTCGCAACAATAGTTTTAAAATGTAGTTTGAATAGCAAGTGAAAAAACAGTAAACACCCTTTTGTTGTTTTGAAGGAGTAATTCCGTTTTCTTTGTTATCCTAACAGGGAAACCATCTTTGTTAGTAACACATCATCACTACCGATCACTGAAATAGCAAATGCTACAACCAGACAGGACCGGTTTGGTGGGCTCCATTTTTTCAACCCTGTACCCTTGATGAAGCTAGTTGAGGTTTGTTTTCTTTTTTTTATGACCAAAAAAGAGATTGGAAGGAATTTATTTTAAAAACCTAGGATAAAGTTACCTCCACTATCATCTGTTAGATTTACCCAAGGAAATCATTAGTCTGTTTTAATCAAAATATAACAAATACTTGTGTTACTTCAAGGTTACAAGGTAGATACAGGCTATTCAGTCTATGCCAACATTTTTAGGCTCCACATGATCCTCCACCACCTCTTTTCATCTAATCTTAGCAGCATACCTTTCTGTTTCTTTCTCCATTGTGTGCTTACCTAGCATCCCCTATACGCCATTTGCCTCAACTACTTTTTGTGTTTACAGGTTCCACGTTCTGACCACTCTCTAAGTGAAGAAATTTCTTCTTCATTCTCTATGGGATTTACTAGTAAGAAGCTCACATTTATGACCTCTTGTGTGAGCTTCCCCACAAGTGGCATTGTTTTCTGTACAAATAACTCTTAATCAAACTCTTAAAAATTTTAAAGCCTCTTTTAGGTCACATTTCTCTTTTCCAGAGAAAAGATCTCCAAACCTGTTTAGTTTTTCCTCTTAGTTATATCCTGTCTGTTCTATTAACAGCCTAGTGAATCATTTTTGCACCCTCTCTAATGCCTTTCTATCTTTTTATAGAGAACAGGAGGCCAAAAATGTGCATGGAGTTGTCTAACCAAAGCTGAATACACCAGCACACCTTTTGCTACCCTTGCATATAAACAAAATTGCTGGAGAAGCTCAGCAGGCCTGGCAGCATCTGTAAAGGAGAAAACAAGATTAACGTTTCGGGTCCGGTGACCCTTCCACAGAACTGCCAGTTCTGAGGAAGGGTGACCAGACCCAAAACGTTAACCTTGTTTTCTCCTTCACAGATGCTGACAGACCTGCTGAGCTTGTCCAGCAACTTTGTTTATCTTCTTGATTTACAGCATCCGCAGTTCTTTCGGTTTTTATTTTGCTACCCTTGACCTGTTTGGTCTCTGTTTTGTAGTTACTATGTATGGACTAATAGGTTAACATCGTGTGTCCAAGAGATCATGGTAGAATGATCCTGTAATGTCATGACGAGAGAGAAACCTTCTTGAGAAGGCATTTGTTGAACTCTGACTGTGCAGTTAGACATTCAGTATATAAAATGTTCTTGTTGAAATGAACAGACTTCAGTAGAATCATTTGAAGGGCAAAGGGGCCCCACACACACACTAATAAAAAGATGAAACACTGTAACTTTTTTCTCCACCATTATACTCCCTCTGTAGAATATTCTTACTACTTATTTTGTTAAAATTCTGATGGCTGAGGAAGGAATCTCTGCTGTTTAAGTAACACATTACCTGTTTTGTTCCTCAAAAATATATGATATATTCTTGTGAGGACAATTTTTTGTCAAAAATTGATTCTGAGGACTGTATCGAATATCCACAACCTGTTTGTCCTTCCTTTCTTCTCAAATTCAAAAACAAATGGTGTGAAATTCAGAAAACCTACAGGTGTAAATTATTTTACAATCAACATCAGATCCGTTTAATTTTAAAGCTTTGGCTAATCCCAGAGAATTGCATTGAACATAAATAACAGAAGCAAACTATTTGGTCCAACTTGTCTACGCTGATGTTTATATGCCAATATGAGACACCTCCTACCCTAATGCCATGTACTTCTGTTCCTTTCTCCTTTGTGTGTTTATCCAGCTTCCCCATAAATACACTTAAGCTGTTTATCACAGTTTCTTCCATGTAGTGAATAGCACATTCTGCCCACTCACTGAGTTCTGCTGAAAGCTTCATTGGATCTATTAATGACAATCATATGACACTAATTTTGATTTCCTAAAGAAGTAGAACCATCTTCTTCACATTAAAGCCACTAAATGTTCTCAGAATTGGTAAGGTTTCTATCAGCTTATCCCTTTCCCTTCTCTTTTCTCAAGAGAGGAGCCATAGGCTGTTAGGATCTTTTTGCAATTATCATTTATTCACCATTTTCTTGCTTATTGCATTCTTTTATATGGTTCTTTTATCTATTCCTCCTGTATTGCTTTATATAGCAGTCAACTATTCTTGAATTCCATTTCTCTTCGAAGCATATGCCAGAAAAGTGGGGTCCACAATTCCACACTGGAATAGAAGACTTAATGAGCCATACTAGCACTTGTAAATCTATGTGCAGTTGAAGATTATTTTTTAATCAGTATTACCTCTGGTGTGCTCAGTTTTCTTAATCACAGTAAATAGCCTCAAATTTAATTATTTTGTTTGCAAAATTTTTTTGTATCAATTGATTCTAGAAAATATTAGGGTTACAGTTCCTTAAACAGATAACTTGTTGATAAAGGGTTTTATGTTTTAATATCTTTTTAATAAAAAAAGTTCTTGTAATTGTTTTGAATAGGTGGTTCAGACTCCAAAGACCAGCCAGCAGACGTTTGAAACACTAATGAATTTCAGCAAAGCTTTGGGGAAGAAACCTGTGGCTTGTAAGGTAGATACAACTAGTTTCTATCTTCTTTGGCTATTTTTTTTTCTTGACTTTGGATTCTGTCTAGTTAGTGTGGTGGTAAAGAGATTGGCACTTTACCTTTGGCACCTGACTTCAAATGCACCCCAGTCTGTTGTAATAAAAGCTTCCTTTATGTATGGCCTGTAAATATTGTACGCAAAATCAATTTGACCAGTTGCAACTTAATTCCTTGGGTATAAGGTTCTAAGTGCAAAAATATCCCGAAATTGTCAAGCTTGTCTCTAAGGTCACAGTATTGCTGGTAAGATTTTAGCACTGACAACTTTGAACAAAAAAAATCAAAAATACAAGTGCTTGCAAATCATGAGCTGTGTCAGGACTTGTCAATCTTTTTTAAGGAAAGATTTAAACATAAAAGACATAAACATGGATTCTGAATTAAAATAGGAAAGGAAATGGTACAATTCTCATTTCTTTATTAAACCGTAAACACAAGAAAGGGAGTTCCACAACAGTTTTGAAAAATATATGACTGAGCAATTCTAATCCGTATCCTTCACTCTGTGTAAAGTCCCTCCTGACAGTATCTGCCATCTTTTACTATTTCAAGCCTGTGCTTCCTGGGCTAGGCTTGAAGTTGAGGCTATGGGGGAGGGTGACCTGATGTGTGGAAAATGGGGTGTGCAACATACGGTCAAGGAACTTTCTAGATATTTTCTAATCAGCCTGCTCAGACATGTTATTACACACTCCCGGAGCAAGTGGGACCTAAACCCAGGCCACCTGGTTCAGAGGAAGGGACATTTCAACTGCACTGTATGAGCCCACTTCAAGGAGCTTTCTAAGGTTCAACTTGGAATTACATTCAACTTGACAGTTCCATGGAGATAAGCAACGATTTCAGACCCCCAGTTGGGGACAGTTTTACTGTTGCTGACCTACCTTGGTATTCTATACAGTTTGAATACATGATTTTCTCTGCCTTTTTAGCCCTGTGGTCCCGAGCGCAAACTGCAAACTGTTCACTTGCTCATGGAAAAAGAAATCTGTACTCGATAGTTCTTAGATGAGTGTTTGCATTTGTGCAATATATAAATTAAATTTATCACTGTTCCTTCATTCAGTGGGTCAAAATCCTGAAGTTCCCTCCGAGCTCTGTGCAGACATTTTTAATCTTTCTGTTCAGATATGTTATGACACATGCCTGAGGCAGGTGGGATTTGAGCCTGAGCCTTCTGAATCAAAGGTAGGGGCACTGCCACTTGCCACAACAGCCCTAAAACAGCACAGTGTATGTACTTGCACCACTGAAAAGGTGACACACCACCACCTTCTCTAAGCCAATTAGTTGTCGATGAACAACAAATACAAGCTTTGCCATTAATGCTCACATCCCATAAAGGGACCAAAATAAAGTTTACCAGTTTAGTGAGAGCCTTCTAAGCATGAAAGCAGCTTTAGCATTGGTTAAGGTTTTATTTAACTTACTCTTTCTCTGTAGGATACCCCTGGATTTATTGTGAACCGTCTACTTGTGCCATACCTGATGGAAGCTGTCCGGCTACATGAGAGAGGTAATCAAATTTAATGATATTTAAAAAATGTATTGGAAGACTTGTTTCAAATAAAGTCCCCTTTTCCAAAATGAGGAAAGCATTGTCTGTTTTTCTCCTCTTGCATTGTAAGGTGTTATATGTTTTAATTTAACATAGGTGGCGAAGTATTGCATGTTGTGTACCTATCATCTCTGCCAAAGCACGCGCCTCTCCAGGCTAGCAGGTAGCAACTTTAATGAGTAATTAAACTAGATTTCAGTCAACATGCAACGAATCCAATAAGATCCTTTTTTTTGTAAGAATCCATTTGACATTAGAACCTCATTAGAGGTGTTACACTGTCTCCAGTTTTGTGACTTTCAAATTGTTTATGGCAATTCATATTTTCTGCGTCACCTAAGCAAGCCACCAGGAAGATTGTCCTCATGTATTCAGTTTACATTGGCAAAACACTTCTGTGGCAGTGACGCATAAGGCATAGCCCAGTTTTTTAAATGTCTTATTAGACTGGCTTAACAAAATGTTATAGCAAAGGTTTTTTTATACATCGGTTTTAATTTCTGCCACCAGTATTGCTGTTGTTTAACTTTAAGTCTTAATAACAAATGGAATCCTTGCCACAAGATAGAAGCTTTTTATTTTAGAATTTTCCTGATATGTTCTGCACACTTCTGATTCTTTTCCCTTTTGAGCTATCTATTAGCTTGAATTTATCTTGAAAGTTAAAAGCATCACTGTTGCATTACTTCTTTACTGTCCCAATCAATATGTAACAGATTTGACAATTAAATCATGAGAGTTGTTAAGTGAGATTGTTTTCCTAAAGCAGAGCTTCAGCTGCAACGTGTACAATCTAGAGGGTGGGGGAGACTTGAGACTTGAGTTCAGGCTGAGATTATTTGGCAAGGCAGGAAGAGAAACTGAAAAATAAGAGATGATAAAGGAAAATTTTACCTTGATCATAAAATTAGTGAGAAACTGATTGCAGAATGATTATTAGTTCTTTTACATGCAATGAAGAGACCTGAGATCAATTAAACAAAAGATTATTATGCAAGAAGGTAGGTACAAACATATTGGGATGATCCTAATTTTACATGACCGTACATGGTAAAATGTCTTATATCCTATAGAGGGAGGTGATGCGCAATGGTATTGTCACTGGAGTAACAATCCAGAATCCCAGGCTAATGTTCGGGGACATGAGTTCAAATCCCACCATGAAATTTGTATTCGATCTTGTAAAAACCTGAAACAAAAATCTCGCCTAATGGTGACCGTATAACCACTGTTGACTTTTGCAAAAACCCACCTTGCCCCTAGCAAAGGAAATCTGGCCTGCATCTAACTCCAGATCCATGGCAATCTGGTTGACTATTAACTACCTCTACGCAATTAGGGATGGGTGATAAATGCTGGCCTAGCCAGCAAAGACTACATCCCATGTACAAATTTTTAAAAATCTGTGCGTAGTAATGACATTCCCATTAATCAGGGCTCGTATAAATTGTGGGACAGAGTAAATAGAAAGAAACCAGCTCCCACTTTCAAAAAGTATCAACAAAAAGTCCAGAAACTTCTGGTTAGACTGCATCTAGAATAACAATTTCATTTCCGATTATCATGCCTTGGGAAAGTTGTCTTGGCCTTAGAGGGCTGGAGTGCTGAATTTCTGGAATGATATTAGGGCTGAAAGAATTAACAGTGAAGACAGCCTGTATGTTATGATTCATCTCTGGGGCAGGTGAGACCTGAACCTGGTACAGAGCTTGGGTCATTACCACTGGTCCACACGACCCTTAGAGGCACTGCTTATTATTCCTTGACTGTTAGAAAATTAATAGAGAAATTTAAGATGATCAAAGTAAAGTGGTAGGACAGAGAGAGAGAAACTGTTCCTCTCTTGGGAGACGCCACAAAAATAGGGCACAGACTTAACACTGGAGTGATGCTATTTCAGGGTGTTTTCAGGATGAATTGCCCATGTAGGGTAGTAAAAACCTGGAACTCTTCCTCTCAGAAAACTTTTAAGGCGAGGCCAATTAAAAATTTCCAAATCGAGATTACTAGATTGTTTTGTAATAGTATTAAGGGAAATGGAACCAAGACAGGTAAATGGAGTTGAGGTGCAAATCAGCCATAAACCAATTCAATGATGGAACAGACTCAAAGGACTTGAGTGATCTATTCATGTTCCTATGATGAAAAATGGAAACTGTTTCAATAATGCATTCAGAGCTTCAATTTGTTTCCTTGACTCTCAGCATGAGTACTACATAAATGTGCTGTCAGATAATGCTGATTAGGTATATACTTTTTTCAAAAATTTTGGTGGACCAGATACCCAAGAATGTTACCAGGGAAATATTTTCAGATACGAAATGGTTAAGATGAAATGTTTTAATAAATAGGTTGCTGCTTCCAGTGATAAATTGGGAGGTATACTACCCACAAACTTCTCTTGGATTTAGCAGAAAAACAAACCTATGTCATGTTCTATTTTGTTGAGAGTGCCTTTTGGCTTTGATATTGTTCCTGGGTATTTGAGAGATATCAAAAATTGGGTGATAATGAGCAGTAACTCCTTGACCTTGGTAGTGTTTTGCCTTGCTGTAGAAAAAAGCAGTGACAGAGTTTTGACAAAAATTATGCATCTTCAATGGTTCCAGTATACTGTGGGTTGTGTTGTTTTATATTCTGAATGAACACAAACTATCTTCTTGTATCTAAAATATGGAATAAAACACTCTTTGCATTGATGTGCTTTGAGTAAATATCTGATTAGTTTTATATATCTCTCTTCCTCCTTGAAATGTTTAGCCTCTTCATTCCCTGAAGTTTGGTTTATTTGGTTTCTTTTACTTGAAAGAAACTTTTACTCTGTTTCTCAGGTCATGGATCAAAGGAAGACATTGACGTGGCAATGAAGCTGGGTGCAGGATATCCTATGGGTCCCTTTGAGTTATTAGATTACGTTGGACTTGACACCAGCAAGTTTATTATTGATGGTAAGCAGAAATATGTCATTACTTATGTAGCCTTTTTCTTTAATTGAGCTGATTCCTCCATTGTGGTTGAGTCTTGCTATGGCTATGTTTTATGATTTTAGTCCACATTCGGCCTCTCCCTGACATTAGATATTCCTGGAACTGCTCTTATTACAAGTAAAAAATACAGTGCTAAGCAAATGAACAGTAGGTGGTGCTATGGTGAAGCAGGCATCCTCTTAATTTAAGTCAACCACACTGAATCTATTAGAACAGAACAGTACAGCTCAGGAACAGGCCCTTTGGCCCACCATGTCTGCGTTGAACATGACGCTGTTCTAGACTAATCCCACCTGCCTGTACATGGTCCATATCTCTCTATTCCCTGCCTGTTAATATGTTTGTCTAGATGTCTCAAACTTTGTTAATGCATCTGCTTCTACCACACCCCTGGCAGTGCATTTTAAGCACCGACCACCCTCTGTGTAAAAACACTTCCCTTGCACATTTCCTGTAAACTTTCCCCTCTCACCTTAAAGCTATGCCACCTAGTATTTGACATTTTCATCTGAGGAAAAAGACTCCAACTCTCCACTCTATCCATGCCTGTCACAATTTAATGTACTTCTGACATTCTAGTGAAAACAATCTGAGTTTGGACAACCTTTCCTTATAGCTAATACACTCCAATCCAGGCAATGTCCTGGTAAACCTCTTTTGCATCCTTTCCAAAGCGTCACATCCTTCCTACAGTGGGGCATACAGAACTGCACACAGTACTCCAAAGGTGGCCTAACTGCTCTACTCTTGCACTCATCTGACTTTTTATACTGCAGAATAGGAACATAGGAATGCATGTTTTAAAGTTGATAACTTATAAATGTTGGATAATTTGGCAGCCCTTGTGCTTAATGACTGTTATGCCATTATTTTGGTAAAATGATCTTCATTTCCATTAATGTTGGTAATGAGATAGCATATTGAACCAGTTTTGGGAAAAGGAGGAAAAGGACTGGGGGTGGGGTTTGTTCATTAATGTAGATAAAAGCTGAACTTATTGTAAATCAAGTTTCAGATGCAGTTTACTGCATCCAAAAGTAAAACTTGCATTTGATAATCTCTTCAATAATCTCTTAAAAATTTTGCCATTTTTTATTTTCCAACTGAACTCAGTTATATAACAAACTGAATAAACTGAAGATTCCACTCAGACCAGGACACCTTCAGTGCTCATCTTGCAATTTCTGCTTTACAAGATTTCTATTTCTGTCTCCTTTCTGCTGATTCATCATGGGGTTTGATTCCACTATTTCTGATGTTGGGGGACTCCAGAATGATTGTTAGGACAATCTGATGATGGCTTCTGCTGCATAATTGTATCCTTTCCAGGATATTTACAGCCTCCTGTTTATAATACTGTTCACCTGGAGCAGCTGAGCAGCATAGGTGATCTAAAATGATGGGTTTCCAAGTGCTTGAAGCACTGTGATATTTTATTTTGGATAACAATTCTCGGACAGATTTAAAGAGAAAGGAATGTTTTAAACAGAGAATTTTCCCTAGATTTTTCTTTGCTTTTGAAGTTGCTTAGTTATGTAAAGCAGCAAGGTGACAAAGCTATGTGCATTGGAGAGGTAGAATACAAGAACAAACTCATGATTTCTGTAAGGTGATTTACTCTCCATGCCATCAAGGGTCAGTGATTGAAAATATTTGAAGCTGAGCTGTCATCCATAACATTGAAAAAGTAACCAAACTGCTTCCCAGAAGCAAATGCAACAGCGAACAGAGGTAGCAGGCCTAAGTGATTTGTATCAGGAAGGAAGCTGAGACCATGTACTGGTTGTGCTACATAAATTAGGAGCCTATTAATTCTGACCAAATGTTGAAACACCACGAATATTGAAATATTAATTTGTGTTGTATCTGGCAATTACACATTGCTTCAACTGACAAATACTGGTAAATATTTATGCCACATCATTCAACTTGTTTTATTGTTCCTTTTTTTGGGAAGGCAGTAATGTATGTCCCTATAAGCATTTCATAATGAAATATCTTGCAATCATAGCCATGGATTTACACAGGTTGACCACTGTGAGCGCTAATCAGAATTGAATCCTGCTGTCACTGGATTCTAGCCATCAACACCCAAATCAAGGAAACCACACACACGCCAGATAACATTTTGTTTTACATGAACCTGTTCTATTTACTCCTGTGAAGCATTAGGTTATTTTTCTGTATAATACAGACGATGCATGAATCCAAATTGTAGAAGTGCAGCAATAGTGAATTTCTGTCATCAACTCATTATGAGGTTAAATCTCTTGATTGTATTTTTAGGTTGTGATTTAATTGTTTAGTACAGCTCTGACAGACCAGTGCAACTTTCATGAATTTCTTTTGTTTCTTTCTGTCTTCCCTCAGCTGTATCAAAGGGAAGTGTTTTTAAGTATGTCCTGTGACTGAATATGGACATTTTTCTTCCATTAGGATGGCATGAGATGGATCCAAACAATCCCTTGTTTAATCCGAGTGCTCTGTTAAATAAACTGGTGGAAGAAGGAAAGCTGGGTAAAAAGACTGGAGAAGGCTTCTACAAGTATTCCTAGAAAGCGAGGTGTCTTGCTGCTGCAATTTTTTCTACTCTAAATCATGCAAGCTGTCAGACTGTTGCCTTGGTGCTTAAGACTTCTGCTCTGGCACCCAATTGATATGTACACTGTAATATTAATATGTTTGCACACTGGATAATGCTGACCCAGCCTGATACAGTGATTGTGATGTATAATCTGTAAAACAAAGTTATTTTTAAAATTAATTGCTTCTAGGCAGAGAGATACCTTAAAAATTATTATACATACAAAGATATCTTTGTTCTTCTTATTGATGCATTTAAAATGATCTTAGTTTCAATTTGTAAATCTTTTTCACTCATTAATAAAATGTCACTTAAATTGCATAATACAGTTTCAGTTTATACTGGCATTATTATTTGTTTGCTTTGTGTGTTGCCTAATTCCCATGATTTGTTTAATCCTCAAATGAAATAAAATGGCAGATAGCTGTCCCACCCCTACCCTCTTTTGTCTATGACCAGCCATCTCTTTAAACTTCACTGCCCCTTTGTCCTCAACTCCAGCTGAGTTGATTCAGTTTCACTGAGGCTATCTGGCCATCATCTCCTCTTCCTCAAGCTTGCCTTTCAGAGTCCTTGAGTCTTTTACTTTCACCCAAATCAATGCTCACTTTGGCGTGAGTTTGCGTCAAACAGGATCATTTATCTGATTTGGCAATGTTATGTTATAAAAAATTAGATGTGAATATCATGGTATTGAATAATTCATTGGATGTTTATTACAGCTAATTCTTATGTATAAACACTACATTCCTCAAGCACATATGCATCTGTGCTAATATTAATCTAGTATGTTACAACAGAGGTGCATGCTTTCAGTTGTAATGCTTCAAATAATCCAAGATAGGGTGGAGTAGAAAACCTTTATATCCTTGGGTCACATGCTATAATACATCAATGAGTTCATGAGCATATCTCTTAAAGGGATACTTGACATACTGACGCAACATATCTTTCCTGCAACTCCCTGTTCGAATCATAATTCTGCTTAGGCTCAAAATATTGTAAAACTCATCTGAGGTCGCTCTTATGGATGCAGACAGCATTTTTAAGGAAACATTTGAAGGGTGATGCAGAATGGTTCTACTGTAGGAAACCATCTGATTTGATCAGGGACAGAGTGGGTAGATGAGTGTTCAGAAGGAGGTAAGAGAGTAAACTGAGTGAGATTAGTGCAGGGAGAAGTTTGTTTGCTGCTTTCCACCTCTGGTAATTACATAAAAAGGCAAAGCAAGGAAAACCCAGTGGATGGATATGCCCAGGAATGACTGAGGAAATGCCTGAGGTGGCAGCAGGAGAGGAAAGGAATCAAGAGGACCATACTGAGAGATTGCATTCAAAGTGGCAGCCTATCTCCACAAGTAAATGAATATAGGGATAATGGTCCAAACAGAATAGCACAGAAAAAGGGAGGTCTATTATAGGATGTGATAGCAGAACATTTAGAAATACATATGATCAAACAAAGTCAGCATGGTGTCATGAAGGGAAGCCATGCTTGTCAAAGTTCAAATTCTTTGAGGAGGCAACAAACAGGATAGCAATGGATGTAGCACATTTGGATTTTCAAAAGACCTTTCATAAGGTGTGACATATTCATTCTATTTAATAAAATCTGACTTCATGGATTTGGAGGTAGTATATCAACATGGATAGAGAATTGGAAAGCTAATAGAAGACAGAGATTTGGGGTAAGGGGGCTATTTTCACGATGGTGACCTATAACTAGTTTAAGGGTTTAGTCTGGGGCTACAATTAATTACAACGTATAATAACTTGGATGGAGAAAATTAATGCACTATAGCCAAGTTGGCAGATGACAAAAATATAGGTGGAAACGATGAAACAAAGTCTACAGAACGATTAGGTAGGTTAAGTGAGTCGGCATGAAGTTGGTAGATGGAATATAAAGTGGGAAAATATGAGGTTATGCACTTCTGCAGGAAGAATAAAGGAGCGGAGTATTATTTTAATTGTGAAAATTGCAGAAAACTACAGCACAGAGGGATTTGGAATTCTTGTACATAAATCTCAAAAAGATAGCATCCAAGTTTAGCAGGTAATAAGGAAGGCAAATGTAATGTCGGCTACTAAACAAAAACTGAAAGAATGGATGCTGGAAATTAGAAACAAAAACAGAAATTGCTCGTAAAGTTCAGCAGGCCTAGCAGCACCTGTGGAGACAAATCAGAGTTAACATTTCAGGTCCAGTGACCCTTCCTCAGAACACGATGTTGGACTTTATTTCAAAAGAAATGGAGTATAAAAACAGGGGATGTCCTCATAAAACTATACAAGGCACTGGTCAGACCACAGCTGGAATACTATGAAGAGTTTTGGGGTCCCTTGTGTAAGGAAAACTATACTGACATTGGATGAAATCCAGAGAAGGTACAAACTCTGATCCAAGATATAGAGGGGCTGCTTTATGAGGAGGTGTTGAAAAGGTTGAGCCTGCAGTCATTGAAACTTAGAAGAATGAGAGGCAACTTTATTGACACTTACAACATTCTTACGGGACCTGACAGGGTAAATGCAGGTGTTTCTTTTTGTGAGAAAGTCTAGGACCATAGGGAATGATGTCAAAACAAGGGGTTGCACATTTAAGACAGAAATAAGGAAGACTTTCTTCTCTCAGAGGGTCATGAATCTGCAGAATTCTTTACCACAGAGTGTGGTAGAAGCTGGGTCATTAAATACATTCAAAGGTGAGATAGATTTTTAATCAGAAGGTGGAGTTGAGGATTATCAGATCAACCATGGTCTCATTGAATGATGGAGCAGGCTTAATGGCTGTATGTCCTACTCCTATGTCTTCTGGTCTCGCTGTTTAATGTGTTTATGACGATTACTGGATCAGAAGCCACAAGCAGTGTTAGGAGGAGGGGTGGGTAGAGAATAAGTACCACTGGCTATTTTGACAGATCATTGTCAATTACCTCCAATGTGATCTGACCAATACATGCATCTTTCAGATGGGCAGTTCTTTCCATTACATCCCTAGGTGAGACTTCCATCACATGCAGCACCTGATCTTTTGTTATTTTCTTGGAGAAGCTCAGGAGATGCAATATTCACCATTCACCTCCTTCCACTCTATTTCTCATGTTGTTTTAACATCTGATTCACTCATAGGATAGGAACATCATTGGCTACATTAACATTTATTGCCAATTCCTAATTACCCAAAGCGCAGTTTAAGAGTCAATCACGTTTTTGTGAGGCGGTGTCATATGTAGAGCAAAATGATGGCAGATTCACTTCTCCATAGGGTGTTAGCCAACCAGACAGATTTTTAACAATAATCAAAAGTGGTTGCAATTAGGTTAGTTTAGTTTTTAATTCCAGTGTTTTATTGATTTATTTTTGTCTGCCATGGTGGGATTTGAGCCTATGCCCTTGAAACATTTGCTGAGGATTTTGGATTACTAGCCCGGTGATATTGCTACCAACTCCCAACTACAACCAGTCCAGCTTCTGGATGAACCAGAGTTTACATCTTCTTTAGGCAACCTAGTGCAGTGCTTCCCAAACTGCATCTCACCAAACTCATCTGGAGTGTTACAGAATTTCTTTTGCGATTATTGAGTAATTTTTATTTAGTCAGGTAAGTTTATCATTAGTTTGATAGACCTTTAAAATTTCAATTATGATTTTTTTTCTCCTTGATTCCCAGTAGGATGGTAATTTGTGCCTGTCTTTGCCAGAAGGTCCCTCTGTGTCTGCCATATAGACTTATATATATAGCCACATGGGTTTCTTATAGGGCCTTGCCTAGTTGCTAGGCATTGATCATGTAGCTGTCAATTACATCAGCAACCAGAAGTGGTACCATTTGGTAGTTCCAATGGTTTATTTATGCATGATTGAAACTTTGGTTTCCATTTCCAGAATGAGAAATAGTCTGGTTTAGCTTCATTGATAGTCTTTGGTCTGTTGTTGACGTTGTCATGGTTTGCAAAATTAATTTTTGTAGTGAAGGACGGAAGTTTACTTTTCCTTCAAAAAGTAAGGTAAGTTAATAATGTGTTAATCAACAGCTATAATTTAAATTAGGGAATATCTTTTGGGTTGAGGCCACATCTATTCTAACCTAGCAGAATTGCAGACTGCAAAATGCATTGTACATGATGTAACTGTTAACAAACATCATGTGAGGAAAACCATGAGCACTGTTACCACCCTGTGTTGGGTGCAAGGTTTAATGTAAGGAGCAGTTGAAACTTGGACTTCAATATGTGGGTGATATTAGGTTTGAAACAGTGGCTCAGTGGTTAGCACTGCTGCCTCACAGCACCAGGGACCTGGGTTCAATTCCACCCTTGGGCAACTATCTGCATGGAGTTTGCACATTTTCCCTGTGTCTGTATGGGTTTCCTCCAGGTGCTCTGGTTTCCTCCCACAGTCCAAAGATGTGCAGGCTAGGTGGATTGGCTATGCTAAATTGCCTATAGTGTTCAAGGATGTGTAGCTTAGGTGGGTTATAGGGGGATGGGTCTGGGTGGGATGCTCTGAGAGTCCATGTGGACTTGTTGGGCCAAAGGGCCTGTTTCCACACTGTAGGGATTCTATGAATATCACTGGGATTAATGTTGTTTAAAGTCAACATAAAATAAATCTGTTCGCAACTACATGTCAAACCAAACAAAGTCAGCAATTTGTTTGCATGTTGTCTCCATTGCATAAATTGTTTCTTGTCCAGACACATGTAGGACTCTGCCTAAGGAAGCTGTTGATGGTGGCTACCAGAGTATGTCATTGGGCTGTGGTTCGGAGGTATGTAATTATGCTCATCGCTTGTTTAACGTACAAGCAGCTATCAGCAAAGGCTCCACCCCTTATACGAGTTGCCAAATGAAGCTATGGTTCCGTGCAAACTGAGATGATACCTTTCCTTAAAGCACCCACTCACCTCCAAAAGGGCAGGTTGCTTCAAATGGTTAAAAAGACAGAAACAAAGCTCTCTCATCAGCAGAAGTAGGGGATGATGCATCAGGAGAAGCATTACAGCGATACCAAATTCATTGCCAAGGCCAAAAAGCCTCATACGATTGCTGAAACTCTCATTCTGCCAGATTGCCAGAAAATATTTAGCCCTCTGATAAGGCAGGGAGGCAGCAAAAGAGGTGGAATGAGTTCCACCTTCAAATAATACCATTGAAGACATGTAGCAGAACATAGAAGCAACATTCAAGGCTCCAGAAAATTTAAGGGTCAGGAAAGATTTCCCTGCAGACTGACAAATCTGCAGACATTGACAGTTGTCCACATCTGATTGCAATTGCTTGGTGTGCAGAAGAGGACAGCTTGAAAGAACTATTCTGCATGGAA